GCATCAGGGGTATGATAAAAGAAAAACTCAAAAGTCAGAAGAGACTCAAGTGTAATATAAGAATTCCTTCTAATTCATAATTTGAGAGTAATTAACCATTCATCTTTCTTTAGTTAAAATGCAAAGATGAGATACGCCACATGATTAATAGAAAGAAAGAAATATAGAGAATGCATGCGTTTGAAATGATGCATCGAAGAATATAGAAATCGCCAGTAAGAAAACACACACACACACATATATATATCATACATCCGATCATTAGTTGTATACATAAAGTGTTATAGTCCTTGTGATTTAGGTGTAATAATATTATGAGTATACAATCATTTGGATAAAATATGAAAGTATCCTTCATTATTTGTTAGATTTTGAGCTATAAATCATGCAGAAGCTTGAAAACAAAAAAGTTCTAAATACATTAGATCTTTGACTTCGAATTATATTAAGTTTTTTTTTTTAAAAAAAAGGTTAGTTAAAGAAAATAAAAATCACACTAATATTATGTTATGATGTGGAAAATCAAAATATTACTAATAGTTTAACTATTAAAATTTATTTTGGAATGACATAATCAGGTTCTTAGCACTAGGATATCGTAGAAACACAAAAATTCACCAAAAATATATAGGAGATACATTTCAAAAACTCCATGTATGTGGGGAAGGCAATTTATACACATAAGAATATGTGCGGGAGAAGAAGAATAAATATCAACAATAATATATTAATTACACACCATAAGAACAAGTCTATCAAATTTCACTCTTCTCAACTGATATAATGATGAGACTTTCTATTTATAAACCTTGGTGACTTGGTAAACAAATCTTACAATCATAAAAAATTTCCTAATAAATTACCAATTTCTAAATATTAAAACTACCATAATTTGACTCCAATAAAGATACTAAAAGATTAACTTGACTAAAACATTGCTAAATAACAATATATAATTTTCTATTTTTAAGCCTTGATTTAATATGTCAATATTGCCTCCCTCAAATCAAGCTCTTTCTTGGATCTGATTTACCACCATCACAAACAATAATCTCCCTTGCAAATTATATCAATTTCTACTTTGTACTAGTTCTTTGTCTTCAAACACTTTTCTCATTACAATAATCCACGCACCTGGATAGACAGCTTTGTAGCACAATTTATTGATAACTTACTTTGTGATTTTCATAACCACAATTTAACTAATAGGATGCTTCTCTAATCTTTGTTTTCACAACCACAATCAATTTGACAATTCTTCCATGCCAATTTTCACCAATTGGATACTCCATGACCAACCTTGCGGACTAAATCAATCAAATGACTTCTTCACAACTGCAATTCTTATACTCTAACTCTAACAGCGAAAAATATCCACAACTAATCTTGTAACCGGAACAATTTTCCAATATTCACATGCACTCTAGGATCAATTTCTTGAACGCAGGGTTTTGATACCATATGTAGAACTCAAAAATTAACTAAAAACTTATAGGAGATATATTTCATAAACACCATATATGTGGGGAGTCAATTTACACACATAAGAATATGTGTGGGAGAAGAGAACTAAATACCGACAATAATATATTAATCACATGCAATAAGAACAAGTCTATCAAATTTCACTCTTTTCAACTGAGATAATAATAAGATTTCCTATTTATTAACCTAGGTGACTTGGCAAACAAGTCTTATAACTATAAGAAATTTCCTAATAAATTATCAATTCCTAAATACTAAAACCACCATAAAATGACTCGAATAAAGCTACTAAAAACTTGACTTGAGTAAAACACTACTAAATAACAATACAGAAATTTTTATTTTTGAGTCTTGATTTAATATGCCAATAGATATTACTACTTCTCAACAAAACTACATTTAAATTGACATTGTGCATTTCTCATTGATTATTCTCTCACATCTCTTTTAAGAAGTCACAATTGCTCCTCGATACATGTCAATTTAAGAATCAAATTAAGCGACACCCAAGTAACCCAAGTAGACTTGTGAAATCCAGAATTTCCTAGAATTTCACTTGTGGGTGTATAATACACCCGTCTGATTTAGAGGTAGTTCAATTCACTTTGGATTCCCCAATGATCCCTTCAGTTCCACTCCCTCGTTGTAGTGTAGAGTAGTGGTATGGAACAAGGTTGGATGAAGTCTGGCTTCATGTCCAGCTCCGAGTCTAGCCCTAGACTTCATCATGCATAACATCGTGATTTTCATCATTTTTCTATTTTTTTAGTTGTATTTTCGTTTTCTATTTAGTTTAGAACACTTGTAGCCTACAAATAGACATATCTAGGGTTTTTGCATTCAGACTTTTTTCATAATATATCAAATATTGTTGGTTTTACCCAAGTTTTGTGAGTTCTGTCACGTTTTTATGAATCTTTGATTCATGTCTGAGTTTAGTCCATGTAACAATTTTCTGATGACAGGTATTCATATAACCCCTTCGCTTCTCATGCTTCCGCATCAAGTAAAATAAGAATTATTCGTATCCGAAGAGAAGGTAACTCGAGTGGGGCTCCACATTTGAAAATGTGTAAAGGACAACGTTTTTAAATTAGCAGTCCAATTCAATTCATGCACGCCGTGATGAATTTGGGCCAGCAATGGCTTCACTAGATTGTCTGTCACAACAGATTTTATTCAGAGTGTGTAGACCACGTTCGCTATAATTACATTACTTCAGCTGCGTGTCTCCTCATATGGATCTGAAAGAACAGCATGGGCTTATGCTTATCCTGCACAATCATCATATTTTGCTATAAGGAAAAGGAAGGGCCGGCTCATTGATTTATGGACAAGATATTAATCTTTTTTGGTATGCTATGGAGCCATTGATGATGGCTTAGCTTAGATCAAAGCAACGTAGAAATACGAATGCAAGTGCTAGATATATGGATGATAGAGTTTTCATGCTCCATCCATCTTATTCTTTGTGTCATTCTTCCACCTTTTTAATGTCTCAAAATAAGACTTGACATTTTAAAGTCAACATAGAGTATTGATTGCTTTCCGATTTTGCCAACTGAAATACATAGTAAACTTTTCTAATTCCCAATGCATATTTATCAAGTGAATATTTCTTAATAAAAACAGTCCAAAATCACACATTAACCTTTTTTATTTTTTTACACACATTATCCATTTGTTGCCTTGTATTGCAAAGCACACATTCACAATGGTTCTAGTAAAAACACTCAAAAACTTATAAAATACCCAAATAACACGTCAAAAACATGAAAAACATTTAAAACCGTAAAGACCCATAAGAAATAGAGACGTACCACAATATTTGATTTGACATAATGTAGTACAAACACTTGTTACTAGGTCATCCATTCGAGGGATTTATGCGCGAAATATGTTTTCCTACAAGATTGAGACAAGTATAATTGCATTTGGTACGATTCGTATTGTTATTGTAGTTCTTTCAAGATGTGGTGGATGTACTTATATATTGAATTCGTGTATGTGAACAAAATTTATGTAAAAAAAAAAAAAAGCACAAATTTCATGTATATAACAAAATAATGTTAATATTTATCACATCAAATAAAATAAACAAAAGTCATGCAATCACATCAAAACCACAAATATACTTGTCCAAATCTTTTTTTTTTTGGGTCCAAATCCAATTGCTACCTAGTTTTTTCTTCAATATGGGGCGTAACTACCCCACCTTGTTAATAAACAATAACAAGCTCTGCCGGCCAAATTACCTCTATGTTTCTGACAAAGGGTCTCTATCAAACTCAAAGACTTGAAGTCTCCCATCCACTAAACAAGAAAAGAAGAGAGAGACTCGATGACGTCTCTATCAAACTCAAAGACTTGAAGTCTCCCCTCCACTAAACAAGAAAAGAAGAGAGACTTGATGACGCCTCCACCAAGTAAATTGTTCCATTCGTATATTGCAATTTGAAAATCCAACGCTGCATTCTCGAATCGTGGATTAGAAAAAGAGCAAATGGTCCTAAACATCACCAAACTATTTAGTTTGGTCCAAAACTTGGATGGATTGATTTTTAAAAATTCAATGATTTAAATTGTATCATAATATTCAGTGAAATGATACCATATAATCTGAGCCGTTAAATTTTTGACAATCGAATCTAAACGTGAGCCTTTAATTTAGCCTGTTTTGGTTAGTTACTCTACCATTTTTTCACCAAAAATGTCACTCAATTATTAAATTTGCAACTTCTCTGTCATTCCATCTAAATTTGGGGCTATGACAGACATCATGATGGTCAGTCAAGCTTTACTTACAATTAACGTTTTAGGGGCAAAAAGGTCAGAACACAGCATTATGTCACTCGACCCACAATCCTCCTCTGTTCCTCATCATCATCATCATCTATGAAATTGTCCTGCTCAACAATTCTTTCTTCTTCATCTATCATCATCTCCAGTGGCCTGTTCACCTTTCTGTCCCTTCCTTTACTTTTTTTTTTCTTAACAGAAAAATAATGGAATTTAAGAAGTAGGGAAGGAGAAGGGAATCAGGACCTTCTTCTCCATCTACTTCTGCCACTGCAACTCTTTCCTCTTGGCCACGCGGTCGATAATATCATCAACAACAAATTTGTCTAAATGGCAACAAATGACCCTAAAAGTAGTGATACTAAACTAGCAACACGAGTACCAATTCTTCTTCGATAGCACATTTATCCATACCAATGAAACAATGGTAATCACAACAACAACAACGATTTTATTGCTGCTTCCCACGTGGCATGTTTCTTGGATTCCAATCACAACCACCACCTGACTGATTCTTTCATAAATTCTTCTTTTCGTATGTGTAGTAGGAATCTTATTACTATTATCAATAGCAATAGTAGTAGGATAAATTCGGCTGATTTTATTACAATTCTTCATGGTTTGTTATTTTGCCTCCACTCCTTGCCGCCGTCAAATCCAATGTCAAGCCTTGTGCTGTGCGTGCCAGTCGCGTTCTCGTTCTATTCCAACTCCCTATGCCGCCTCCGTTTAAGTCCTCCAGAACCTCTTCCTCTGCTGCTACTCAGTCTGCTATTAGTATATTAGAAAACGACTCCAAATCCACGCAGCAACTACAAGTACCACCTCCTCCTGGTACTATTGCTACTGCCCCTTGTTTGGAGCTTGCTTCCTGGGTTCTGATGAACACGATCATCTTCCATCTCTACTAGCTCTTAGGTGTGAGCGTGAGATTAAATTGAAAATGAAGTCGACGGCTGCCAGTATTTCTTTGCAGCACAAGATTTTGACATTATTGTTCGGGTACAGGGCAAGAATTGGGCACTGAAGCTCAAAACATATCCTAGTCAAATACATCAAAGTTCTCTGTAGAGTATTAATTTGATTATCTAACTGATTACATTAACTTAATCTCCTTCCTTGACCTCACAACTAGACATAAAGGAAGTTCAAATAGCGAGGAACTTACAAAATGTTTAATGGAACACTTCTCTTTTCCAATCTCTTATTTGGCTAAATATGAAATTTACTCTGTCATCTCCATATCCAATTTTATAGAGTATTTTATTTTTATTTTATAATCTTTTGTTTTCCAATTTGGTCCATTAAAAATAATTGATCCTATATCTATAAATTAGGTGGTTTGAGGATTGAAGTGCTAGTCTAACCTTTTCCTTCTTCTGCTCCTCTTGTTCGACTCTCCCCAACACAAATCAGTACAAGCAACAAGCACTCATCTATTGTAATAGCACACTTTTGTTCAGTATCAATATCAATACTGTTAACCCTAATGATGAGAGAGCTTTTTTCACTGTCAGATTCAAGGTTCAAACGTGAACTTAGTTAGTAATTAGGATCGGAAAGGACACCGGGAAGTGGTGAAAGGCAAAATAAAAAATATCAATATTTTTAACAAATTTATAATTGTTGCCGATCAAAAATCCCAGATTCCAAAAAAAAAAGGAGATGAAGTGCAGTGCTTGAATGATGGATGCATTTGTGCATTATAGACATAAAGCTGCATATTGTCATGTGATATTGGAGAGAGTGTGATTATATTAGTTGTAACCATAAAATATATTTGCTGCACAAGTGCATGTACGTGACATATCATACACATTGGTTTTCAGATTAAGTGAAAAAAGTGTAGAGGCTAAATAGATATGCTCGGCCGACTAGAAAATGGAGTATGAAACGGAAAGACGAGACCAGAGTAATAAATATAATGCAAGTGCAAGAATTTTTGGCACCATAACGAGAAAATTCATGGCTCGCCCCTGAATAGAGCCAAGACTAAAGACAATTCTGAGACATAAGATTAGGGCCAACAATAAAATATTGGATTAGGTAAGACTTGGAAAAAGGAAACATTGGATTGGGATTGTGTAAAATGCCAAGGAATGTCAGTGAACCTTCCAAGCAAGTTTCTTAGCTAGGGCGATGAAGTTGTGCAATATAGAGTATTATCCGTGGCTTATAAATATGTGGTGAAAAATTGCCGAATTAAGTCTCAAAGCAAGTTATGGAGAGATACTGGCTGAGGCCGCTCAATCAGGAGACATAAACGCCTTATATGATTTACTCCGGCAGGATCCAACCCTTCTGGATAAATATGATCAGCCATCATTTGTGGATACGCCTGCACACATAGCAGCAGCTGCTGGCTCCACCCACTTTGCCATTGAAGTCCTAAGCTTAAAGCCCTCTTTCAGCACGAAGCTCAACCCGGACGGGTATAGTCCACTGGACTTGGCACTGAGACATGGAAAAACCCAAACAGTTAAACGGCTCATTAAGCACGATCCTCAGTTCATTCGCGTCAAAGGAAGAGAGAGGTTCACGCCATTGCACTATGTAGCTGAAGTGGGCGACGCTGAGCTTTTGGCTGAATTTCTAGAGGCATGCCCGGAGTCCACTCAAGATTTGACTATTCGTGGAGAAACGGCTGTTCATATTGCTGTGAGAAATATGAATGTCAGAGCTTTACAGGTGCTCTTGAGTTGGTCAAGAGAAATAATAAGGACGCATCTTGAACTGGACAGATGAGAATGGAGATACTGCCTTACATATTGCAGCCTCTACAAACAACTTTGAGGCAAGATATCTTTTTCCTAATTTTTTTTTCTTTTACACTTATTAATTAAATATGATAACTAACCAAGTCTTTTTGACCTTTGTGCATATTTTAGAAGCAAAGTTCATTAGCTTAACTTACCCAAAAAAAAGTTCATTCGTTTAACTAATAATTACTCATATTTTGGTGTAATTCCCAAACTTGGCCCATTTGAGATTCGACCAAACATCCAGCATAGGCTCTATTGAGCACCATTTTGATTAAGTTTGGTCCTCTTGTAGGTCTCCAATTCTTAGCGATTTAGTATGTTTCTTCATGATTTTGCTATACACTTAAACGTTCATCGTTTTGTAGCTTGAAATTTTGTCGGTGACAATTCGCTTCACCAAATAATGATACAATTAATATGATCAAATAGCAACTTCACAAAATTATGTTGCAATTGATGTGATCAAATAGCATCTCTTCATATACATTGGGAGTATTTTTGTAATTTTTTTTTGGGCAAGAAGGTTATAAGCACGATATCTAAAAACTGACGATATGCAGTTTGTACAATAAGCATTTAAGTAGCTAATTTTATCGACATCTTGGTCACTTCTTCAGGTTGTCAGGTTGCTAATCAAAAAAGTGAGAATAAATGAGAAGAATTTAGAAGGTTTCACATGTCTTGATACTTTCATGGGACTGCCAAACACAGGTGATGAGAAGATTGGCAAAATTTTAAGTAATGCAGGTGCGAAAACATCTTCATCTCTACGTCACTTCATACTTTTGCCCATATTCGGAGTTCAAAGGCAAGATTCACCAATACATTTCTCGAGCTAAGTGCAGATCCTGATGGTTGTTTTGATGGCTTGTCAAGTGAGATGCGAAATGCCATCCTTATGGTTGCTCTAGTATTTTTTGCAGCTAGCTATCAAGCTGTCCTAAGCCCACCAGGTGGAATTTCATCAGGAGGTGACACCATTTTGTTTAGCAACAATTCTTCCAATATTTCTTCTAGTTCAAATTTTGCCAGCAAGAAGACAACTATAGACACCAGCGACGCCGCAGGAGAAGTACAAATGGAGTGGGAAGCGTTCTGGCAGTTTTATTTCTTCAACTCAATAATGTTCTTTACCTCTCTTCTAACTATCTTGAAGCTGCTTCCCGGGGTATTTTATGTGCGGCTGGTCTACCTTATTCTTTCAGCAATCTACGGAATGTCATTGAGGATTATATCACCAGAATCACCTATTTCTACTGCTCTCTATTTATCCATGTGTGCGCCCTACTACCTTCTTTTAATCATCGCACATAACCTGGGTGCTCAGTGGCGTAAAAGTAGAGCCCATATTGGTAATTATTATGTTACTAGAGATCATCTACGACTTTGAACATTCTGCAATCTGAACTTCTACTGGCAAGATCCCTGTCCATGCTGGGAATTATCTCACTTCCCGATAGCTCTCAGGATCTTAATATTGTTACTATCAGTTTTAAAGTCAAAGTTGCAGCCTCTTCCAATCAATCTTCCGCGACAGAGTTTCCGCCAACAAAATGCCCTGGAGTGCGAAGAGTCTCAAACTTGCAAGGGATGACAACTCTACTCTGACTATGAACAGTCTTGTGCAATATCCTTAATGGTTGTGATAGTGATATTTCGACTTCCTCTGTTGCTGGTTGTGAAGTTAATAAGAAAGCATGTTTTAGCTATTATGTAATTCGTCGGTTTGTATCTGTCTTTATGCTCCTTTCGTTTTTATTCGTTATGTCTTACAAAAAAACGCAGGTCTTATAAAAAAATCTTATTATTGGTGATATAAAATGCAGGCCACTTTCTTCCTCTAAATGATCAATGAATTGGTATATCAAAATTCTCACTAACCTTGTAGTTGAAACATCCCTTGAATATTCTTGTCATGAAGTTGAAGAGGTATGAACTGGTGCTTTTGTTACCACATTTTCACCTTGTCGAGTAATTTTCTTTCTTCTGAAATATGCACTGCAATGACAATTCTGATTAGCACTGCGTTGACATCTATGTATCTTTTCTAATTATTGTGATTGCTGAAATTGAGTTTCTCCTACCTTGAAGTAATATTTACACAAAACGTACATTTCTACATTGTGTTCGAGTAGGCTTTAGTCAATGTTTGAAGGGAAAAAAAAAAACAATTTGCTAAGTTTGAAATTGTGTTATATATGTTACACATAATTTCGTCATGCAGAATATGAGATTATTTTGACCCGTTAAAAAGTTTATGGCAGGCTATACGTGTCGATGTACAAAGTATTAGTGTTAAAGTGTTATTGAGGCCCAACTTCAGGGGAGAAAGTGTTATTAATTGAATAATGCAACATTGCCATTAGAGTGATTTTGATTAATCTCATTTATTGCAATGGAGCAATTGCAAAGTGTCTACTTTTACAGCAAAAGTGTGAGAAAATGTGGGTGCTGAACCCTGTCAGATTTGCAAGGGAACATATATATAGCCTAATTTTGGTCTCGAGTGTTCCAAGTGTTAGCCTTTTCCTTTTGAATTCTGCCATACTGGGCCATCCGACAATTTCGTTGAACCTTCCAATCAAGTTCTTAGCTAGGGTGATCCGGTTTCTTGCAATATATGTACTTTACTGCTGAGAGTTTGCTGAATTATGTCTCCTGCCAAGTTATAATGGAATGGAGCAAAGATTGGCCGAGCCTGCTCAATCAGGAGTACGGGTGCAGAAGATTCAAGCTACCAGCATCGACGTCGTGAATAACTCAATCAATAGTTTAACTCCACTTCAACTTTGATCGAACTCGAGTTGCTGGGTTCGAGTCAAGTTCAAATTATTTGTTTGAACTCAAGAGCCAAGATCGAGCTCCGAATTGTAGTTTGTTTCGCATTTTGCTGATTCTTCAATAGCTATAGTCACAGAGTACTACAAGATTTTAGCCCCTTCATTCCACTTTCGAAATTCGAGGAGGCTTGATGCTTCTAGCACCATATTTATCCGGAAAAACACTTTTTCTTTGTGGTTTATGTTCAGCACTTTTATTCTTCTAATCGACCATCATAGCTTGAGAAAGCAAGTCAATTTTTTGACTACTTTAGCTCCTTTCCCTTCAAAGATCTAATTTATTCTACTTTAGCCCCACTTGCAATTTATTATGGGAACTTTTGAAATTTTCTGAAGCCCCGCTCGGTCAAGTTGTTACTTTGCTAATTGAAGCAATTAACGGGAGAATCAATCACCTCCTACTCCATACTCCATTCGTTTCACTTTAATAGTTTTTGATTTTTTTTTTGCAATTTAAAAAAAATTAGTTGATTTTATTGAAAGAATAAATTTAACCTACTGTTTTTCTAAAATGCTCTTACATTAATATTAGAAATATCAATAATTATTATATCTTTACATTAATTATAACAACAATAGTGATAAAGGTTACACTATTCGAGGCATGAATCGAAACAATTATTGAATAAAGTTATTGCAATCATCCCATAACAGCTGAGTGGGCCTGAGCGTCAGCCAGCAACAAAGGATCAAACATGATCAAGAGTCAAGACCTAATTTTTTTGAGAAAGCTAGTTTCCTCATTTCAGATAGAATACTTGACGAAAATATCCACTTCGGAATCAGAAGCAGTCGTCCACTCATCAGAATGCTGAACTGCCGTGGACTGACCATCCACAGAATCAACAGCAAGCTCTAAACGATCACTAAGTTGATCCACCGGTAGCAGAAGATAAACTCGATTCTCATCTGTGACCATTCAGTAGGTACATATCCTTCTCAATGCTTTGTTACTCCTCGTGGGCTTATAACTAAATAAATAGCGTAAAATACACTTTATCCTCATGTGATTTAGCGATTTTTCACATAACTTTCTGACAGAGTGTCGAGCCTGTGCAATAATAATTACCTACTTAAGAAAAATACAAATTTTGTATATAGCAGTTAGCAGGGTCGAATCCACAGGGACTGGGGATAATTCGTTTCTTTTAAAATCCAAAGTATGGGGGGTTTTTTGGAGAATATAAAATAACTAATTAACTAACCAATAAAACAACTAATAGAAATAAATAAAAATTAATCAATAACCAATATGACTCTAGCCAAATGTGCAACTTTTCAAACACGGTCCATGCAACTGATCATTGACGCAAAGATAATTCAATTACTCATTAATAGATTAGTTATGGTTGTCATATACGTGATGAACAACCAGCCTTTCCTTAATTTCTCGATAGTTAAGGTACGACCGTTAACTATTTTTCTAACCAAGAAATAACCCTAGGTACGACCATAGGATTTAATTACTTGACTGCATTAATAATTAGAAAAGCCTAACCCTAACCAACAAACACGCTACGAGGGTTTATTTAAGTTAGATCATATGTTTCCCTAACATGAAACCAATCACGCTAGTCGCCACTGGTATTAATCGATAGAACAATTACGGATTCAATCAATTAATATGACAGTAGATTATTAGGTTAATTCGAATATCGGGCCCTTGCCATTCAAATAACAAAACAATCATAAACAATTAAATCAGGAAACGTACAAATACCAATAAATAAAAGAAATAAGTAAAATAATTAGATCTCACAGATATTCGGAACCGAGTTCTCAAATTGACCTTCGACTAGAAAAAATGAATTAGTTCATCTTCATGGAGGAAATCCCATGCAAAATTGCAGAAGTAATTATTCTAAAACAAAGCTATGTTTCCGTCCTCCCCCTAGAAGAAAACGGCAAAACTATATATATAAGTAATGAATACGCAGGAACTAGCTAGAAGCAAAAACAAAACGAAGCTCTCCTACTCTAAAACAAAAACTACTTGTCTAGTGGTCCCCGCCGAATTTAGATAAAAGGGTGCAATCCGTCAGATCAAGCTCTGCCGACTTTTTCTCCTCTTTGTTGCCTATTGCTAGGCAAAGACTTCAGTGCCCAGACCATTCCTAATCAGTGAAAAGAAAATGCACTCCCTCTACCGCACTCTGTGGGCCAGGTTGTTGAAGCTCTTTGGAGTCTCCCACATGTGGAGCAGTTTTCTTCAACAGGTCCCCCTTTTTAGCGTATTTTAATTCCATTTCCTGTAGATAGGTCCAAATACCAAATATAAGTATATATTAACAATTTAAAACAATATTTAGTAAGGACAAAGGGGAAATTAATAATAAAATAACCAACAATTAACACCCTATCACTTTCATATAGTTTCAAAAGTTATATATAACCCCTTTATAATTGAAATTACCCTTGTTTAAAAACTAAAGTGATTGAAGTGACCAAAATATATAAATATAATTTATATGACACTCTAACTCCATATGATTTTATGTTTTACCATGTAACTCCCTTATAGTTTAGTGTTTTACCATATAACTCACTTATGATTTTCAAAATATATACATAATCCCCTGTGGTTAATAAATAATTTTTAACTTTACATAGAGGTACTTTTGAAATTTTAGCAGACTCCATTATAGAATACAAATTTCATCATTTGACACTTTAATTCAAATCATAAGGGGGCTATGTTTAGCTTTCGAAATCATAGGGGGATTATGTGAAAAATCATTAAATCACAGGGGGGTAAAATGTATTTTGCCCAAACAAATAAGTTGATAATTTTTTAACAAGGTCTAGAAAAACCAAAATTGCAAGAGAAGCAACAAGGTAAAGTAAGTTGCAAGAATGTGCCAGCAATATTCTAAGATCTCTGGTTTTTTGATGGCTAGGATGATCAGAGATCATACTCGAATTAATCTCTGAGCGGAACTGGTATTTTGCAGACGTAACCTCAGCATTTGCACAAAATCACAGAATGAGATCAATGTATACGAGAAACATTCAGACTTGGCAGTATGACTCCAGCTGAAAACCCATAGCTGAGAGATAGTGAAAATAAGGTTCCACCAGTAATGAATTGTAATGAGTTTTTTGCAACAGAGCAACAAACATCCCAACTGAGGCAAGAAATGTTACAGTAGTCAAAATCAAGAAAATGGAGAAAATAGGCCACCCTATTTGTACTCTCCCCCTAACGTCCAATGCTTTCGAGATCATCCAAACTAGGAGGAATAGCTAAAGAGTCGGTTAATAATTGGAGATTTATCATCCTTGAAGAAAGTTAATGAATGATAAATTACAAACAGCAACAATATGTTTTGTTCCATTCTCATGGCGACTCAGTCCAGAACAAAATGAAACTTAAAAAAAAAAATCCTGCATGTTCAATTCAACCACAATATTGTTCATTAACAAGGACAAAAAACAAATTATAGAACATATGATGAATTGACTAAATCATCTACTCTTGACCAAGAAATTGAACTAATAAAATTTATCATGCTTATTGAAAATTGGACAAAAATTTGTGGGTATATAAGAA